TATATATATATATATATATATATATATATATATATTTATATTTATATTTATATTTATATTTATATTTATATTTATACAGTAGCAAGCAGGGAAATATTCCAGTGCAAGTGGAGTTTATACTGCCCCTCTTCTTTTGGCAGGGATATTCAAGCCAAGTATAGGCTGGCCGTCCCTCCTGCTTTTCAAGTGAGTAATACAGCTGGAATGCAAGTCCCTTTGTCCAGGTTTTAGCTTAGGTAATCAGAAATCTAGCTAAGCCAGCTAAGAAAACAGAGCTCAGGGGTTTGTTCTTTACCTTCCTGCAGCCTTCCTGTGCAGAAATGTCTTGCATAATTGAATTGTAGGTTCCGTCCTGGGAGATTTTCTCCATGAATCGGAATAATCATGAAATCCTTCTATTGCCTAAGTTTCTTGGGAACGTCTTCCATCCTAGTACTTTGCTATATGGATATCAAAGGACTTGCTTTTCACTTTATAGGGACTCCTGACAATTATTAAAGGATTACAGTGGGAATCAATTTAATAGAGTGTTTAGAAGATAGTTAACAAGGTGTAGCTACTGTTTTCATTTTCTTTTTAATCTGGCATATTTAAGAAGATAAATATTAATCCCATGTTGTACTGTAATAGTAGATTAGGCTTACTTTTTAAATAGGTGAGGGTCCATCCAGGTTGTTCTGGATTCTTCTTTTTACAAAGTCGTATGTGCAGGATATTTTACTGCAGTAATTTCAAAAGTGGCAGCAATCACAACTCTGTGTGTGTGTCTGTGTGTAAAAAAATGGAACTTAGATTCTATTGTATGCATACTATATGTTTTCTCTTTGTCTCCAGGAACAGCTTGAGGAAAGTGTAGGGGAAGAGGAGACAGCTTTTGCTTCCTTGAGCAGGAAACAATATGATGCCTTAAGACGATTGCGTTCTTACTGGGTTCCCCGATTCCTAATTCACTATCAGAGAATCAGGCAGTTAAGGTTTGTGCTTGGATGGATCACTGTGCTTTTGGAGTTGGGCGATAGGCATAGATAAATAATATTGTTATGTCCTAAGTATAACATTTTAAAATGGCCTTAAATCATTGACTGTATAATACAGTGATCCCCAACCTTTTTTATGCCGCGGCCCGGTACCAGCATCAGCTGGGCGCCGCGGCCCGGTACCGGCGTCAGCTGGGCACCGCCATCTTTTTTTGATGAAAAAGTGCTTCCGGTGAGCTTTCTACCCGGAAAAGCTCACCGGAAGCACTTTTTCATCAAAAAAAGATGGCGGCGCCCAGCAAACCAGCGGCCCGGTAGGACTTGTTCCACGGACCGGTGGTTGGGGACCCCTGGTATAATACACAGTTGGTCCCATGTTTTGTTCTTGCTTACTCTGTGGTGGAATTTAGTAAAGATCCACCACCTCACTTGATTTTCTTCATTTAACCAAAATTATAAATATCGATTTTATCTAAAATACCTTGTCAGTTCAATTGAGTACTTTTACAGGTTTGAACCCTGTTCAGAGGTGCCTATTGAAGAGGAGCTTTCCTGGAGTGGCGGTTTCCCATTTTCTTTGCCTGTGCTTCCTGCTGTGGGTGACCAAAAGGACACGGTGAACTACATGAAAAGAAACAAAGACTGGAAAATGAGGTGAGCACCCGTCCATAAAGCAGAATTGCTATTTTGTTTTATTTTTGATACTGATGGTTATTTTATTGTAATCATGCATCCTAATGGCTTTCTTCCTCTTGAAGCTTAATCAATTAATTTATTATATTATTGTATATTAAATTTAAATTAGAGCCAGGGTGGCACAGTGGTTAGAACGCAGTACTGCAGGCTACTTCTGCTGACTGCCAGCTAATAGCAGATTGGCAGTTCGAATATCACCAGCTCTAAGTTGACTCAGACTTCCATCCTTCTGAGGTTGGTAAAATGAGGACCCAGATTGTTGGGGGAAATATGCTGACTCTGTAAACCACTTAGAAAGGGCTGTAAAGCACTGTGAAGTGGTATATAAATGCTATTGTAAACTGCCCTGAGAAGGCTGTAAAGCACCATGGGGCAGTATATAAGTCTAAATGCTATTGCTAAAAGAAAGAATCAACTAATTGCCCTTAACTGCTCAGAATCTGTAGTTAGTGTCTATATTTGTGTGTTTATTAAAATGATTTGGCGGTGGGGGTGTGCACATTACAAAGCTTTTGTTGTAAAATGATGCAGTTTATCCTTAAACATACTTCCCTGACGAAGTTCACTTGCTAATTTTGCACTGATCATTATTTCTTAGTGAAGCCTGCCTCACAAGGCTGATGCTGTGCAAAAAAACAACCCCAAAACACAGAGGGAGAAGTGCTATCTATGCTGCTTTGGGCAAATTTGGAATGTAAATATAATGAATACATAATAATGCTCAGTGCAAATGAAAATAATATCACAATGGCCAAATTCTTGGCAGAAAAACTTAACAGTATTCGGTAACTGACAAATGAAGAGCCTGCTCTGTCCTCTCCAATTGTTAGTAGAAATGCAGAGAGGAGGCTTTATAAACACTGTTTAAATTTATTTTACAATGCTGTGGCAGCTGTCAAGAAAATTTATGTTTCCCTAAACTTTGACAGTGGCATGATAGTTTCACTTGTAGCTGTTTCTTGTCAACCATTTCTCCCGGAGGAAAGTCAGTGTAGAAATAAACCAAGAAAGAAAGACTCTAGAGCAGGGGTATCTATCCTTGGCAACTTTAATTCTTGCAGAATTCAAGTCCTGTGCTGGCTGGGGAATTCTGGGAGTTGAAGTCCACAAATCTTTAAAGTTGTCAAGATTGGACATACCTGCTCAAGCAAGAGTGTCAAATTCGCGTTGTCATGGTGCTGTCACGTGACACATCATGACTTCCCCTTCCCTTTGCTAAACTAGGGGTGGGCATAGATGGTGTGTGATACATCCGGGCCCGTGGGCCACAAGTTTGACAGCCCTGCACTAGAGGATCAAGGTTGCTTCTATTGGGGAATGATAGCAAACTTTTTGGTTTTGACGAACCAGACTGGTAATTCTGCTTTACTCTTAAAAAAAAACAGGTTTTAGAATAGTTTAGGAAAATCTGGATGCTGTTCTGATCTCGTGTCCTCTATAGCAGAAACATCCTGGAAATTCAGTTTTGGTTTCATCATTTAGGAAAAGCAGAAAAGGAACTGGGTCAAACCGAACGTTGAGGTCCCTTAATGACTCCTTTGAAACCCTGACAACCATCCAGTTTCTTGAGGCATTGATGTGCGACCTGGGAGATGGGGATGGTTTCCTTCACTACTTGACTCGGTGAGTTTCCCAGCTGCTTTCAGTGTCCCACATTTCATTATGTTTTATTTACAACCCATAGGTGGATATTTTATTGTGAAAATCTTCTGAGAAAAGCATGATGCTTATGCTGATCAGCTGGCTTTTACACACCTTTTTTGTTTAGGCAGAAGTCCTACAGTTCACCTTATGCTGAAGTAGATATCCTTTATGTTACCTACCCAGGTTTGAAGATCCACAGAAGATTAATCATTTGTTGCTGTGGAAGAAGCTAAAATGTTATGAAAATGCCCAGGAGAACCAAGCAAGCCAATCTGAAGTACAAAATATAGCCTGGCAGATTTTTCATATGTTTCTCGCCACTTATACAGAATGCAATTCAGGTGAGCTATATTTAAAGTGCAAGTATGAAAGAATCCGATTTAATCAAATCAGCCCCTCATTGCAAAAAAGCCAACCAACCTGGAAAGAATCACTACCCAGAATGTAGGTGCTTGAATATGGGGGCAGATGTCTTTAGAATGTGAAATCTATGTTCTTAATGCCATGTCATCTAGTATTTTTGAAGTTGAGACAGAAAGAGAAACAGATAGATAGGCAACGTTGACTTAAACATGTGGTTCCTACAGTAGATTACAATAAAAAAATGAGTTTCAGTGATAGTGTGAGTGTTTTATGATTGGAGAAAGTAAGAGATATAATTCATTGTTGGAAGGATCTTTCTGTAGGTTAGTTACAGGATATCTTGGCAGTAGGGACTGATATTAGTTCTACAGTAATCGACTGTTATTCTTGGTAACCTTAATTCTGTCCCACTGATTAAATAGATTGTTAAGTGTTTGGAAACACCATTAAAGCCTACTGGGTAAACTGCTATAGTGTGAACCATACTATAGACATTGGTATCCTATTTAATAACAAACATTTTGCTCCCTTTTTTATTTTCAGCCTTTAATCAGATTTATTCATTTACTAAATATTTGTGGGCATTTGGCCTATGAACAAATTCTTTTGAAGGTGGAATCATCCTGTGCTCTGATTCTCCTTTGTCTACAGAGCTTAGTTCTAGTATGCTAGACTACATCCAGCATCTTGAGAGAATACTTTCCACTGGCAGTGGAGACTTGACATTTTCTGCTTTTCAACCCATGATTCAATATGTGCTGCCTATTCTGGGTGAGGCATGGCTCCATTACGTTCGCCATGAAGTCACAACTTTCCTTGAGTGAGTGCCAAGATGTCCTATTCTGAATTTTCTGAAAATTGTATGTATTTTGTGATGGTAGAAATTTCAAAGATTATGCACCTGCAACATTATACATTGAGTCTTTATGTAACATTGTGCAGACAATGGCCAAGTCCAAATGTTGTTTTTGCTATGTTAATGGAGATTTTAAGAGTTCTTTAATCGAACAAATTACATGAGACATGAAAAGAAAACTCATTACAAATAATTTGTGAACACTCCAATAATAACTTAAATACACTGCTCAAAAAAATAAAGGGAACACAAAAATAAGACATCCTAGATCTGAATGAATGAAATATTCTTATTAAATACTTTGTTCATTACATAGTTGAATGTGCTGACAACAAAATCACACAAAAATTATCAATGGAAATCAAATTTAGCAACCCATGGAGGTCTGGATTTGGAGTTACACTCAAAATTAAAGTGGAAAAAAACATTATAGGCTGATCCAACTTTGATGTAATGTCCTTAAAACAAGTCAAAATGAGGCTCAGTAGTGTGTGTGGCCTCCACGTGCCTGTATGACCTCCCTACAATGCCTGGGCATGCTCCTGATGAGATGGCAGATGGTCTCCTGAGGGATCTCCTCCCACACCTGGACTAAAGCTTCCCCAACTCCTGGACAGTCTGTGGTGCAACGTGGCATTGGTGAATGGAGCAAGACATGATGTCCCAGATGTGCTCAATTGGATTCAGGTCTGGGAAATGGGCGGGCCAGTCCATAGCATCAATGCCTTCGTCTTGCAGGAACTGCTGACACACTCCAGCCACATGAGGTCTAGCATGTGTCGTGTATTAGGAGGAACCCAGGGCCAACCGCACCAGCATATGGTCTCACAAGGGGTCTGAGGAGCTCATCTTGGTACCTAATGGCAGTCAGGCTACCTCTGGCGAGCACATGGAGGGCTGTGTGGCCCCCTAAAGAAATGCCACCCCACACCATTACTGACTCACTGCCAAACCGGTCATGCTGGAGGATGTTGCAGGCAGCAGAACATTCTCCACGGCGTCTCCAGACCCTGTCATGTCTGTCACATGTGCTCAGTGTGAACCTGCTTTCATCTGTGAAGAGCACAGGGCGCCAGTGGCGAATTTGCCAATCTTGGTGTTCTCTGGCAAATGCCAAATGTCCTGCACAGTGTTGGGCTGTAAGCACAACCCCCACCTGTGGACGTCGGGCCCTCATACCACCCTAATGGAGTCTGTTTCTGACCGTTCAAGCAGCCACATGCACATTTGTGGCCCGCTGGAGGTCATTTTGCAGGGCTCTGGCAGTGCTCCTCCTGTCCCTCCTTGCACAAAGGCGGAGGTAGCAGTCCTGATGCTGGGTTGTTGCCCTCCTACGGCCTCCTCCACGTCTCCTGATGTACTGGCCTGTCTCGTGGTAGCACCTCCATGCTCTGGACACTACGCTGACAGACACATCAGCTCGCATTGATGTGCTATCCTGGATGAGCTGCACTACCTGAGCCACTTGTGTGGGTTGTAGACTCCGTCTCAGGCTACCACTGGAGTGAAAGCACCTCCAGCATTCAAAAGTGACCAAACCATCAGCCAGAAAGCATAGGAACTGAGAAGTGGTCTGTGGTCACCACCTACAGAACCACTCCTTTATTGGGGATGTCTTGCTAACTGCCTATGCTTTCCACCTGTTGTCTATTCCATTTGCACAACAGCTTGTGAAATTGATTGTCAATCAGTGTTGCTACCTAAGTGGACAGTTTGATTTCACAGAAGTGTGATTGACTTGGAGTTACATTGTGTTGTTTAAGTGTTCCCTTTATTTTTTTGAGCAGTGTATATTCTTAGCTATTTTTTTTCTTTCTTACAGATACTGTGTACCAATATCTCATTTGGATGTCCAAAATCCTGAAAGCAAAGACCATAGAAGCAATCAGGAAAGAACTGGGAGGTATTCAAAAGCTTTGTGGAAATGAAAGGTTACTTTGGTAGCCGGGAGCCCATATGGTGGCATATCTTCAAATTATACTAAAGTTTTTAAATAGATTTTATATATTCTGGTTTATTGTATAGACTTACTTGAACATGTAATTTAACTCAGGAGGATTTCTATGGAGATGACCATAAGATTGTACTGTTACCTCAAAAGTACATCAGTTGTTGGAATTAATTTCTAAAGTATGAATAAGATGTTGAAGGAAGTGGACAGTTAGCAGTTAGATCCAAGTTTTGGAAGTTCAGGGGTTTGTTCTTTGCAATAACTCAATTATTACTACCTACAAAGTAGAAACTAAAGTACAAGAAACTATTATCATAATCCAGAATTTAATTTAATCCAGTTTTGACATATGAGTTTTAATTTCTAACCCGCATGGTTGTGGAGGAAAGGAACCTGCTAATGAAATTGGTTTTGACCTTGACTTCCAGAGTTGAAAGAATAGGGGTTACATACACCCCAGCTTCTGCCTCTGTGCCCAGACTGATTTCTCAGCCATGTTCTTTTTCGTCCTTTGCCTTCTGCTGCTGTTTTACCCTTTGCCAAATAATAAGTGACATTTAAAAGTTTTGAAGCCAGAATTCATTTTGCAGATTAAGTCATTGCATTTAGGGCATTTGTATTATTTATTCTTAAACATGAATGTTTTCTTTGTACATCAATAATATTGTTTCATTCAGTGGCAATATTTTAACTGAATATTTGTATCTTTCTGTAAGAGGAAATTCTGTGAGAAGTGGTGTACTAGCCTGCCTTTATATGCCATTCTGCCTGCAGGATAAAGAAGCAGAAACCAAACACCTATGTTCATGGCTCAAAAGAAAGAGGGTTACACAGGAAAAGGGGTAAAAAGAAGGTGGTTTCCAAATCTCCCACAGGGGTGATTTCCAAATCTCCCAGCATAAGCAGTACAGACCAGGGAAGTGGAGAAAAATCACTAGATCTTCAGGACTCACCCACCCCTCATAATGTGCCAGATTTTCTTAGCAACCCAGTTATCTTAAACGTGTACAAAAAGGCAGCTTGTAAAATGCAGAATATAGAGCTTCAGATGGTTTTAGGACTGCTACAGGAAGCGGAGGCCTGCTGGGAAGTCCCAGAACATGAAAAACACCTGAATTGTGCAGTCAAATTTCTATATATGTGGAACAAGCTGGGGGTTTTGAGATCCGGTATCCCCTTCCCCAAAGAACTGAAGAAAAAAATAAAGGAAGAAGTGGCCCAGGGAGAAATTACTGACGTCACCTGGAATGAAATCCAGATCTTATTACGTTCCCTGGTTGTTCCTACTTTTGAGCAGTTTTGGGATGAGATGAGTGAAGGGTTGAAGAAATATGGACTGGTGCCTTCTCAGATTCCAGAAGAACGCTGGTGCAAACTAGAACCATTCCTAAATGTGATAGCTGGAAAAGTAGCTCTTAGACATATGAGGAACAGGGAAGCACAAGATGCATCAGCAGCCACAGCAAAACCTACAAGGGAAGACAAAGACTCTTTTTGGCAGTCTCTAGAAGAGGCTGCAGAAGGCTGGCCCACTGTGGAGATGCTCCATTTCATTAAACACCTCCAGGTATATGGCACACCTGTGCTGGAGAGTGGTTTGCATTTTCTACTGGAAGTGCAGAAATTTAAAAATGCTCATCACGACTGGCCTGACATGACTCTTCTGAAGAAAAAGGTTCTTGTCATACGTGACTGTTTCCTTGCTTCTCAGGTTGAGCCTCGGCTACAGGTAAGAGCTCACAACATCAGTGGTATTTTTATTCCCCAGGTGGTCTATTTAACAGGTTGGTTGGTCAGAATTGATTAGTAAAAATACAGGGAAACAAATTTAAAATAGTTTCTTTGTATTTTTGCTAATCATTTCTTATCACCAACCTGATATATGTATATAATTATCTCACTTCCATGTAAAAGTGTTCATACTATCTATGGCACGGGTGTCAAACTCATGGCGTCACGTTGCGATCACATGATGTTTAGTGATGTTTTCCCCATTTGCAGAGCTGGGAAGGGCCAGTTTAGTCCGCTGGCCGCCAGTTTTGACACCCCTGATCTATGGTAAAGGGCAAATTGTCTTGATTGCTACACTGTCAGTGTTAAAGAGAAATAACCATGGATGAACATTACGATCTTTAAAACATTCCACCAAGTTTGTTGGCAGAGAATATTTTCTTCAAAGGGTTCCAAAAGAAAATAAAGTTCTCCCAACAATTTCTTAAGAGCAGAGAATATTGTACGCCGATATAGAAAATACTTCATTGGAAAACAGATTTTATCATATCTTCCTTGGTATTTAATTGAAACAGGGGAAGCTATCCTAGAATTTAGGGTTGGCCTTAAAACAGATGTATTTACTAGACCTGTTAATGTTTGATATATTATACTTAACTGTTGGCTTGCAGGCTGCTCTGAGCAGTTAAAGCAGGGGTGGGCAAACTTTTTGGCTCGGGGGCCGCATGGACTTTTAAAATTTGACAGACGGGCCGGGTCAGCACAAGATTTTTTGGGAATCGCCCCCCCACCCTTTCTCCCCCCTCTTCTCCTCCTTCCCCTCCCCTCGGAGGCCCCCTGAGTCAGGAGTTGCTACAGCCGGCGCGGCTCCGCACGGCTCCAGTCCCGCATTGCCTTGGGAAGGGAAAGGCAAAAAGGAAGAGCCGCGGCGGTGCTTTGCAACAGCAGCAGCGGCACCGGAGGCTCAGGCTCAGCGGCTCCTAGTTTTGCCTTTTCCTTCCCAAGGCAACGCGGGACTGGAGCCGCGCGGAGCTGCGCCGGCGCTAGCAACTCCTGACAGCCCCAGCTGGACACCTGAGCAGAGCCCGGGCGGAACTGCCTGTTGCTGCTGCCGGAGCACCACCGGGTCGCCTCCTCCAAGCAGCCCGCCCACTGGCTGGGCTTCCCCTCCGCCGTGCGGCTCAGGGCCAGGCGCGAGCACCCGCGAGTTAAAAGGAAGCCAAAAGTTGCTGGGAAGTTGCTCGGGTTTCCGGGGCTTCCAGGCTTAAACTTTGCACAGGCAAAGATTGCAGTCGGGAGCGTCTTCCCGCCGAGGAGCGGGAAGGGTTCCAGCGGGCGGGCGGGCTGCTTGGAGGAGGCGACCCGGCGGTGCTCCGGGTTTCCCCTCCGCCGCGCGGCTCGGGGCCAGGCGCGAGCGCCCGCGAGGAAAAAGGAAGCCGCAAGTTGCTGGGAAGTTGCTCGGGTGCTGGGAGCAGGCTTTTAAAGTTCCGCCCGAGCAGGACCGCCGAGCCGGGAAACGGGGCACCAAGGCAGGGCAAGGCTCCACCAGCAGCGGCCTAGCTTTAGGTGGCTCCAAGCAGCCCGCTCCAAGCAGCCCGCCCGCCCGCCAGGCGGAACCCTCCCACTCCTCGGCCGGAAGACGCTCCCGCCTGCAAACTTTGCCTTTGCAAAGTTTAAGCCTGGAAGCCCCGGAAAAAAAGGGGGGATCGGCGGGGACTCACCTTTGGAGAGGTCGCACTCGAAGGTGATTTCGAACTCCCAGCCGAGGCCTTTGCAAAGTTCTTCTTTTCTTTCCTACCCCGAGAGCGCTCCGCACTGTTTTGCAGCTTTGGGGGCCACATGGTGCAGGGAAATACGCCACGGCCAGCGATTTTTTTTCAGGGGCGGGCCGGATTGGACAGACCAACGGGCCGGATGTGGCCCGCGGGCCGTAGTTTGCCCACCCCTGAGTTAAAGGAATGGAGGTAATATACTTTTTACAAATAACTGATAATCACATAAGTATCTGTGAAAGAAATTAGTATCACCGATATTGCCCAGGAGTCTGTAACAAAGCCAAAAGGGACAAGGAGTCAAAACAATAGCACCAAAAATTTCAGAGAAAATATACCAAGATGCACTGAGAAGCCTAACAATCTTACAATCAGTATTCCTGGAATTACCAAAGAAGCAATTCCAGAAATGCCACCATCTACCTCCCATCAGCTAAATTTAATTCAGCTTTTTATTTAGAGAATGTCCTGGCTGATCATTTACTGCTGCTTTTGTAATTCTAGCAGTGAAACCAGATTCCATCCCAACAGAGGGCAAAATTGCAGGAAAATAATAGACCATACAGTTGACCTCCAAATAATTATGTCTGTGTCTTACTGTGCGACTGGAGAGGGAAAGGAGCTATAGTTCCAGGAATAATCTTGTCATGAAGAATGCTAAATGTCTGTGGCTTGCCCTGCAGGTGGCTGTGGATAATAAGAGGCTGGGCAGAGCTATCCGGGCAGCTGAGCACGCCCTCCAGAAGGAGATTCCACCTCCAAGTTTATTTGACAGCCTGAAGGATTCAGTCTCCAGCATGCTAATGCCATATTGGGCTGCCTTTCAAAAACACTGGCTCAAGAGATCTGTGGCCAGTGCACAAAGAGTTCCAGGTAGGTCTGTTGTCATGTGGAAATCTAAGAAAAAAACATAAACACATAGGATTGTGCTGTCCCCTTTCTGAATAAACCATATTACAGTATGTTTAATTTAGTATTTGTCTCCCCATTTTCCTGCCAAAACTAAAGCATCACATTAACTTTAAAAACCATTGTCCTTCTTGAATTGTAGAAGCTAACATTCACTGCAAATCAGTGTGATACTTAACTTTACCTGCAAGTAAGAATACACATATATTTACATCCCCAACCAACATATCTATCTTCGCCACAAGTATTCCTTACATATCCATAAATATACTGAACAATGAAGGAGGCAATGCTGAACAATTCATTAGGAGTGACATTTATTCTCACATACGCTTTATTTCCTTCATAAGCTGCTCTGTCCTGTTGTAGCACCCCAGCTACATAAACGTGCAAAGTATTGCATAATTCAATTTTCCTCATACTTTCTCTAAATCAAGAAATACCCATTAATTTGCTTATATTTACATTTCTCAATAACCTGCCAAAGAGCAAAAATCTAGTTTCCACATCCCTTGTATGGGATAAAGCTATATTGCACTTTCCAACTTTTATCCGTGATCACTTCCTTTTAGCATTTCCATCAGCATTCTGATGGTATATTTCAGGTCCCTTCCATGAATCTTGGCGCAACATGGGTACAATGCTTTCCACGTAGGTTTAAAAAAAACAAAAACATCTTTGTAACCGATATTTTTATTATCTCTAGTGCTGAGAAATCAGTTGCTGCTGCAGAAGAGACAGGCCAGGCTCAATGAATCGCCCTGCTCCCTTCGGCTGCCACCACTCCAGCAGCCCAAAGACGGCAATGGAAGCAAGTTGCAGGATGGTTTTATATACTCTTTCTCCGTCAGTGAAGGACTTATAGTACAGGTGTGTATGTGGCATTGTACGCTTTGCTCCTACGTGGAATTAAATAATTTAGAATCGGCGGTGGAGCTTTAAAACAGATTTGTTTATTTATTTAAAATATTTATATAGCTGCCCATCTTATATAAATTTCTGGCTGACATTAGGTTATGGAATGTTGTTATTATTAGATTTCATAAAAGCCTTTAAAAAGTGTGAAATAATATACTTTTAAAAATGATGTAAAGGATTTCTAATACTAATAGTAATTTCTTGAAATTCTGGGTCGTGATTTAATTGAGAAATCAGCAAAACACTGACATGCTGTTTAACTGGAACATAGAGAATGTGATTAAGCTAGTATTTTGGCTTATAAATGTGCATCTAAAGTGGTGCACATGAGCCATTTAATTACAGGATGGGCAGCAAATGCATTCAATAAATAGGGATATAATACGGTAGACATGACAGATACAGCTTTTATATGAAAATTGTGTTTTTGGTAGTATCATATTGATGACACTGATGTGGAAGATTACACTAATTTTTTCTTCTTCTCAGAATCCAAACAAAGAAGTCCTGAACATTAGCTCTGCTGTTTTCAGAAGCATGGGAAAACCCAATGGGTTTGAGTTTCCTTCACTTCCAATGTACCAGTGCTGATTGAAGCAAGGAAGAAAGGTGCTTTCATAGAGTTCCCAAGACTCTACATTGTAAAACATTCTGTATGTTTGCTAGTTAACCATGTATTGGGACAGTGCTTGATTGTAATTAAGAACACACACACACATACACACAAAATGTATTTTCGTTCTCTGTTGTTGATAGTGGTGTATTTAACAGGAATATACCATTTAGTTAAGAACACTCAAAATCCTCTTGATTGCCAAAATATTATCTGGAACATTTTTAGGAAGATTGGAATCTGAAAATAAGAGGCTGTGCTTTTTCCAGGAAAGATTCATTAATTCCTATTATGAATTTCCAGCAATAGTCTTTTCTTACAAAAAAACATTTCATGGCTAGACCCTGAGTTTATGGGAAAGTTTCAGCCGATATTTTCCATCAAATGGCAAGAGAGTAGTTCTGCAATTAAGGCTTAAAAGGGTCTCATGCAGGGGTGGGATTCAAATTTTTTAACAACTGGTTCTGTGGGCTTGTCTTAGGTGGTGGGCGTGGCTTGGTGGTCATGTGACTGGGTAGACATGGGTTAGTGGTCATGTTATTGGCTGGGTGTGGCCAACTCCATATCACTCACATCAAGGCATGCATCTCCTCGCCTGGCCTCTCATGACTGGGGATGCTGCAACAGTCGTAAGTGTGAAAAACGGTCATAAGTCACTTTTTTCAGTGCCATTGTAACTTGGAATGGTCACTCCACACAAGCAAAGAACCAGCAAAGGAGGGGGAAAAAACTCCAGAGACGTTCCTGAGACAGGAAGTCTCGTCCTGCCAAGAATGTAATAAGGGTTAACAGAGAGGCAGTTTCTGTAAGCAACACCAGAATGTTTCCTTGCTGCCTTCCTTACAGGATTAGGCCAGTAATTTCTTCTAACAACCGGTTCTCCGAACTGCTTAGAATGTTAACAACCGGTTCTGGTGAATAGGTGCAAACTGGTAGAATTTCACCCCTGGTCTCATGCTATGAGACTTCATGAAGCAGGAGCTCAAATTTGCTATTTTTGTTCATCAATTGATCTGCTACAAGTGTTTTTCTGAAAACCACAAGTTCTCCATCCTCTGCTCCTCAAAAAGTTATTGTAAGGTTAGCAAATCATCATGATTTTGGAGCAATATAAAAAGGATAAGGATGGGATAAAAAAATTGAGTTGAAAAAATGGTAAATGTGACCCATTTAAAATTATTCCATGATTAGCAAACCCTGGAGAGTGGTTTGCACCAGAATCATTGTTTGTGTGAAGCACTGTCAACAGCAAAAGCTCCCTTCAAGTAATACCCATCTGCAAAATTTGTACAGCCAGCCAGAGAAAGACTAGATAGCATACTTTCCTGGAAATAATTTGTTCCATTGCAGAAAAAATGGTTCTAATGAGACAGCATACTAACTTTTTGTTCCACTGAATAAAAAACATGATCCTGCAGCCAACAAACTTACATCTTTTATTGTCAAAGAAACATAGTTATTTCTTTCTTTGAGGCTATTCTGAAAGGCTGATTATATTTACCTGTATGGTTGACTTGCCTTGTCCTTATGTGACTGGTCAAAGGATGATCTCTGTTGTTCTTTCTTGACATCATGTGCAAATTGTATTTCATGAAAGAAGTTATTTATATACATTGGCTAGCCAAAGCAGCACATTCTACCAGTCCAATAATCCAGAAGAATCCAAAGGGTTGCAGCACCATAATGTACAAATCTTGTTAGGATTCACAGTCATTCAAGTGAACATCCAGATTCCTTACAACCAAGCATCAAAATACATTCTTTGCATATTCCCGTGCTGCCGCCAGTACCATCTGTACATCATCGGTCTTCGCCATGCCTTTCGCTACAACTCCAGAACCTTCTGCTTTGCCTCCCATTTGAGTACAGACAGCGAGAGCCCAGTCAGCTGCAGAAGCCTTTGATAATGAACTCTGGGAAGGGGAACAAATGAACAGAACACAGATGAACTGCCAAGAATGAAGACCGGAGTTTTGGCTCTGCAGCAGGTAATTGAGAAATGTATTCATGTGAAGAAAAAAAAAGAACGGCATTGTGCATTAACTGGTTTAGAGAAAGTGTATGATAATGTGAATAGTCCTGAACTATGGACTGCATGTACTTTGGTATATAGATGGTATTTTGTTGTTAGTTGAGAGCCTACATGATTTCTCATGTACATTAGGTTGTATGAAGCAACAAGGAATAAAGGTCTGAAAATTAAAGTAATAGAAACCAAAATAGAGTTGTTAGTCAGAAATATGGAAAAATGGAGTGAATAATTGCAAATTATATCTACATGGTAAAAAAGTAGAGGAAGTAGATGTGTGACTGGAAATCTGAATATTTGGGCCAGTTACTCTCTCTCAGCCTTAGGCAGGATATAGATATATTAGGCAGAATATATATATATTAGGCAAGATAGATAGGCTATCTATCTATCTATCATCTATCTATCTATCTATCTATCTATCTATCTATCTATCTATCTATCTATCTATCTATATCTATCTATCTATCTATCTATCTATCTATATCTATCTATCTATCTATCTATCTATCTATCTATCTATCTATCTATCTATCTATCTATCTATCTATCTATCTATCTATCTATCATTCAGCCATCCCGCCTAATATATAAATTAAAGGTAGTCCTCAGCTTACATCCACATTTGGGAATGGAATTTCTGTTGCTAAGTGAGGAGGTCACTGAGTCACATTGATTTTATTTTTTTTGCCATGGTTATTAATCGTGGGGTCATTAAGCAAATTCGGCTTTCCCCATTGACTATGTTGGAAGCCCCCTAGGAAGACCAAAAATGATGATCATGTGACCCTGGGATGCTGCAATCTTTGTAAATACATGCTAATTGCAAATGCATGAATTTGATCATGTGACCACAAGGATGCTATGATTGTCATAACTTGCTTCTTTCAGCACTGTTGTACCTTCAAACAGTTGCTAAACAAATGGAGTAAGTCAAGGACTTTTGGTAAATTAAGGCAATTTAATTAATCCCTAAGGGAAAACACTGATATAAATCATCCAGCACTCATATTTTTTCACATATTAGTGTGCCAAAGATCAGATTTCACATATTTCTGAAAGCAGTACAAATTGATAACTAAAATATTGTAAATAAGGTTGTTTAAAACAGCAAAGGACATTCTTTGGATAATATATTTTAGATGAGCAAAAGACAAGCTACTTAAGAAATAATTCATTACCTACAGTTGCAGTGACGGCATTCTGAGAGTGGCCACCATTCCTTTATTATCAGTCATTTCTTCTGATCTTTTCTTATGTTAGCCCTATGTTAAATTAGCATCTCTGACTTGTTTGGCTGAATTCCATCACCATGTAAGTGCAAAACAATCATCTCCAACGTGTGATTTTCTACATGTAACTAAAAATGAAAGTCTGAAATGCAATGAAAAGCTGAAATGTTTGTCTACCATATAACCTTGTATATGAATGTTGCAGACCCACTAATTCATTGTTATAAAATTGCTTAGGCATGATAGTGATGAAATTCTACTGTAAGGATGTTATTTTGTTCAAGAGAGAGAAAAATGTCCTATTTTTACTGTGTTTATGTACCTTCGAGTCAGGTCATTCACCTGTCTTTGTGCTTAGGGCAAGACTAGAACACAGTCTAATGGTTTCTAGCCTGATGTGTTAACCTCCACACCAAACAAGCATTCTAGTACTTTACTGGGGCCATTTTAAAAATGAAAATGAAAATTTTCTCTTAATGTCATGATTTTGACTGACTCTAATTATTAGTAAAAACAATTATATTAAGGGAAAATTAAAAAAAAAAATTCTAATGAAAAAACACATTTCAAAATTTTGTTCTCATTCAAAGAATGTGACGATTTTGCTTCTATCTTTTCAGAATAATGGAAACTGAAGAATCACAGGGAATCCCACCTACCTTGGACACCTGACAAGCGCAAAACACTTGGCCTGCTGCTTGTGAGCTAAGCAACATCACAGAAGCCCCTGGTACTTTGTTACACAGTTGCTTGACTGCTTTCATCAAGATCTAGGACAGAATCGAGAGATAAAAATAAAACTCCAGCTTCAAAATATTACTCGTTTCAATCAAGGAATTTAAGAAGCAGAAGAAATCTTCAACATTTTAAACTGTATCATGTTATAAAGCAGTGCAATATATTCTGGACTGAGAAGGAGAAATGAACAACAGTTAGGTGGACAGTTGGTGCAAAAGGAAGATTTTCAGTTTATATAACACAAGAATTGTAAAAGTAGGAGGAAACTCTAATCGTTAAAAGGTTCAGAACGAACTAGGCTCCTCACACTATTTGAGCAGTTCAGATGTGAACCTTCCCCTGCTCTAAGCTGCTTAACATTTGAGGAAGACAATTTAATCTGCTGATTGTCAAAATAATTTTAGCATGGTAGGCTGCTTTCTAAGAGAAATCCATTGTTGGTTAAAACTCACATAGGGTGTCTCAGCAGGAATAGTATCAATGATGACTGGCTCATTGGAATACTTTGTCAGCAAGCCTTGCACCTTCTCTGCTGCCTAGGGAAAGAATGTACAAAATGTAATAACAGTGGTTGGGTAAAAGACATAAAATGTATACCAGGTGATACCATCAATGAAATATCACAGTGGCATCTGTATTAATTACTTTAAAAGTAGCAAATATAAAGCAAACAGGAAATCCCATTGCAAGAGCATAAGCCCCTGGACTATGATGGTTGCTATAAAACACCCATGTTTTCTGGTTTTTATATACATATACGCGTTGTGTATACAGATATGTGTGTGTGTATATGTATGTGTGTGTGTACGTATGTATGTATAAAATTAACAGTAGGAAGTTCATATTACACCAGACTAGTGTAGTGCAGCAGTGATCTATTTCCTCACTTAATATTTTTCAAGTCAGATAACCATGGAAAGCTTGTAGCTTTTTGCTTTGCAAACTAATCATGAAATGAAGTATGAAAAAAAGGAATCTTCATTTCTAAAGTTAAGGATGCTTTATTAAAAAAAACTATTAATCTGTTTTTGAGTTTTGTTTCTCACAAAACTATCACAAGCTGAACATCCTGATAACCAGGCTCAGAATTTGTTTTATTAGATTACTCACCTTTCCCCACACAACATTTCTCATCAACATTGTTTCCTTCTGTTTCTATATAGCAGCCGAAGCTACCTATTGATTAACTGAAAGTCTCAGAAATTCCAGCCAACATGACCAATGGTGGAGAATGCTTTGAATTCTGCATTGGAATTTCTCTTGGATCAGTCCCCTTAGTTATTCAAAGTATAACAGTTTATATATCATGGAAGGAAGTGATTCATTTGGGAATGGTACCACTTACTACATATATTTATATATTCATTTATTAAAAATGTATTTCTATGCATATATGTAATTAATTACAATATTTGTCATTCTGAAGTCAACATAATAAATCTCCAGCTCAGCATTCATCGCAATCAGGTTTAACAGTCATTCAGTTTTTATTCAGCATATCAGGTCCCATAGTTGATTATGGCTCCTTTGCTTATTTAAATTTTTGTAGCTTGTTATGAAATTCTGTCATGCCTGCCAAAATGAAGAATTGCTAAATCCTTACCAGTCTGACCTCCATTTTCCTATGGGCACTGTTGGCTGCTTGCTGTAGTGTTTTGAGAGTAGCCTGCAATTTCCTTTTCTGCCACTGTGGCATCTTGGTAGTATCCACTCTCTGCAAAACAAATCAATTCCATGATGCCTTTCCACTTTGCAGATTCTTTTTCAGATGGGAGAAGGAAAGAATTTTCCAGCAGTGCAACTGAAGGCAGAATATTTTTTTTAAAAAATTATGTAGTTAAAAGGACAGAACTTGTTTCAGTGAGTGAACCTTAATTTTACTCTTAAACAAAGATATTTCAGCATGAAGCATTGATATAAAAAACAAATGTCAGTCTTTAGTGGGTCCTATAAAGCAGTCAGTTTTTCATGCCAGATATCTCCCATGTTGGTCTATGCATATGTTACTGGCCAGTCATTTTACTGAAATCAAAGGAAGGGAAATAGGATGATGGTCAGTTAAGAGAGAAAAATGAAGCCATTGAGGCAAGTTAGCAATAACATTTACGCTTTATTCCGCCTCGTAGCACTTTACAGCGCTCTTTTGGGCGATTTACAATGTAAGTGTTATTTGATTACCCCCAACAATGTAGGTCTTCATTTTACTGACCTTGGAAGGATGGAAAGCTGAGTCAACCTTGAACCCTGTCAGGATTGAACTTCAGGCTGTGGGCAGAATTTGGTTGCAGTGCTGCACTGTCACCACTGTACCACCAGGGCTCCTCCAGGTCAATGATATCTATGCTGAATATACTGACTCATATAGGGGTGGAGGTGGGGGAAGGGCAATTTTCAATAAACATTTAAATTATCAAAGAATCCAGACATAAAATCAGATATCCTACTCTCATATAACAAACTAATATTTCCATTCATTCAATGTATCAGATAGTATAAGCTTATTTGATGACTATGAGCTTAATGTGAGAATGAGGTCATGTGACAGGATTAAAAAAAACCAAAAACCTCCCATAAATTCTTTTGAAGGCAGGCACTACTTACATCAGTCAGATGACCAGCTTCCTTGGAGATTCGCCATGCTTCATTAACTGAGGCTCCTCCCAATTTCACTTGGGTAGCAAGTGAATCCACTTCTTTAGCCAAGAACTGGCCAATATTCTGAGCCTATAAAAACAGAGGTATCAACGGTGCCTTATTTGTTCACTGGACCCCTGGAAAAAGGGCTGCTGTTCATGAGAGCATAAAGTTGGATGCTGGTGATGACAAAAAAGCCAGAAATCTCATTAACAGTTAAGATGCATTCTAAGGAGAGAGGGGGTGAAATGAATGAGATGAGGAAAGAAGATTGCTCTTACGAGGAAGGTACGTGGATGGGACAGTTATAGTGAAACTAAGCACTTGCATAGACTAAAAGCCTCCGGAGTTGTGGATAAAGCTGAATGGGAGAGATGACAACTGAAGAAAAGAGTCTTTATTATTAAAAGCCACTGTCTTGCCTAATTTCTACCTTCTCTTATATAAAAATCTATGACGCGGACAAAATGGGCAGGAGATGTTCCTTGTACAGCTTCATTCACTTTCATGTGTATTTTGTTCTTCCCCTGCTTGGAGAAAGTCAAAATGTAGAGGAACTGATCCTAACAATTATGCTATCTGCACAGAACGGCTATGATGACATCAGTATCGTATTGAGAAATCTTATCCCATCCTGAATTTGAAACAAATCTAATTAGATTTTTCCAACACCAATTGCAGGTTACCCAGTAGATTACAAGAGAGCAGCAGAGGACAAATCAAATCAGGTCATGGGTGTGGAGTTTAATTAGTTCAACTGCAACATTGCTAGCTGGAATTGGGTTGCATGTGCATTATAAACATCATGTTGGAGATTCGCAAACTGTTTTGACTCCCAGTCCATCTTGTACCCCTACGCCATTTGTCAGAAATGGTGTAGAGTGTCCTGCTTGGGTGGGCGGGTTGGACTAGATGACCTATAAGATCCCTTCCAACTCTGATTATCTGTTATCTGTTAAAATACCGGTTTATAATGTGGAACCTTTGCTAACTTGGAAAGAGACGCCCATAAGGATTATCTGCCTACACACAGTATGTCCCTACTTTAGCCTTTACATCTTCCTTTGATCTTATGTGGATGAAGTGTTGAGGGAAAGTTTACAACAAGCTATGGAAAGTTAGAGACTTCTCCTGGTAGTTTCCTTGATATTA